CAAGCCCCCCAGGCCGTGCGCCCGCCGCAGGGAGATGCGCACAGCCCGCCGCTGGTGACCTTCCAGAGTGCATCTGCCTGGTGAGTGGCTGCGATGGGTCCCAGGCTGCCCGGGTCGCTCATCTTTGATAAGCAAGCTTGGGAAATACCAGGTCATTATTGCTACTGTGTTTGACTGGGCACTTTACCTGGCTATTTGCCAAGAAAGATTTGAAGTTGTGCGTGGCAACCACGTGTGCCTGGACAGGAAAGTCAAAACGAGAGGTGGAAACCGAGCTTGGCAGCGTAGCTTGCAGGTTTACTGCACGGAGAGCCTGGCCTGAGAGTAATCGCCACTGAGCGTTAGGTGGAGTTGTGAGTCTCCTGGCTGCCAAGGCAAAAGGGGAAATTGAATGGCTTTCCAAGTTTTCACAGTCCGGTCGAAGGAAGCAAATCAGTGTGTGAGGGAGAGGTTTTCTCAGAATGAAGTCAGACAGTGAGCATGTTACTGGGTTCCGTCCTGCGTATGCTGAGCCTCAGAAAGGCCTTGAGGACGCAGCGCAGGCGGGCAGGCTGCTCAGCGATGCCTCGGGACACAGGAGGGAAGCCAGCGAGGCAGGTGGGACCCTAGGGGTTGGCCTTGGGGGGTGGCTGTCCCAGCAGAGCCTGTTCACTGCCCGAGGAGTGTGTGCCGACCTGACCTCTACGGCGACTCTCATGTCTGTCCAGTCCCCCTGGTGGAGGTAGGGAGTCGCCTCACCTGGGTCCCTGGGCAGCGCAGAGTCGGGTGGACAGAGGAGGGCCTGCCTTTTGGAGCAGGGACCCACTGTGCAGCTGGCAGGAGCCAGCCCAGGCAGGAGCCAGGCTGAGTGCAGACGCCCTGTGCCAGAGGTGGGGTGAGGGGTCCCGGCGCTCTGTGGGGACCGAGCAGCACCCATGGGTACATCACAATACTGAGCCCGGACTGCAAGACTGAGGTGCAGAAACCTACAACGCAGTGGTCACTGCCAAGCTCATGAGCTTTGAGGGCAGCCCGGCCCAGGTTCAAGTCCCAGCTCTGCTGTTTGCCAGCCTGCGGCGACAGGCAAGTTACTTCACCCCCGTAACCTTCCAGCCCTTGTGAAGCCCTTCACCTGGGCTTGTCCTGAGGATTAAACGCCCGACACTTAGTAGGTGCTCAGTTCCCCTTTGCTGCATCCTCACAGGAGATGCCACCAGGCAAGGGAATGACCATTTAACTAGCTCATGGGTAGCAACTTTTTCAATAATGAATGACTTAAATAATTAATAAGGTGCACTTAAGTCAGCTTGTGCTTATTGATCCAATAATGGCCCATCGATCATTCCGGAAACAGACCTGGCCTTGCTCAGCAGTCTGACAATTGTCTGCTGAGCAGGTCCCCTGGGCAGGGCCCTGGTGCCGGGCCCCTCGTGGTGTAGAGATGATGGGTGAGGGAGACCACAGCCCGCCCAAAGCTACAGACAGTGAACCGTCTGTTGGCCCCGATGGTGGGGCTTTCTGAAACGTGGGTCTTTGGCAGCAGACACACTGGGCCGTTTGGCACCAAGAGCAGCTCGTCCTCTCACTTTATAGCTGTTGCCATCCGCACGTAAAGTCGTGTGTCCGGGCTTTTAATTCAGGATCACGCCCTGCGAGCTTCTGCAGACGGAGTCGGATCTGTAACCACTGCTTTACCGGCTGCATTGATGTCCAGTGAGAGATGACGGGCCATCCTCGGTGACCTAGTTTCCTAGCTCAGGCTACCTGAAGGCTTCTGTTCCCCACCTGCCTTGTCCCCCCTTCCACCTCTCAGGGCATCGCTGGGTCCGGGGCCAGAGGGTTTCCGGGTGTCGGCCTTGAACCCCCCCCGGCCAGGTGAGGGCCGCCCAGTGGCCCAGCCTCGCTGCCCCAGAAGCAGAGCACCTGCATTTGAACAACTCTGCCTGCTGCGAAGCTCTAGTGTTTTAAAGGCCGGAAGCAGAGTGGGGAGGTGCAAGGACTTGAAGAAGCTGACAGTCCTGGGTTAGAATCTCGCTCCCCTGCTTTTTGACAGCTGGAGGACCTCCAGCAGGCCGCTTAGCCAACTTCCCTCAACTGGAAAGTGGGGAGATGGGCTCAGACTCACAAGCTGCTGTCTGGTTAAAGGAGAGGAGACGCGGGAAGACCCTCGCTTGTAGAAACTGCTCTACAAATGTCCTTCATCTCTCCCAGCATCCTTTCTGTGATGTTGAAGACCGCGGTCAGCTGTGCCTGTGGTCCACAGCCCTGTGGGCTGAGTACCATCCTGCCAGGGAACAGTCAACACCTAAAAAGGGTTTCAGCGGGTGCATAGGAGCTTTCTGGAAGTGGAGAATGGGCAGTCTCGGCAAGAGCAGCTCAGGCTCCCTCCTTCAGGCCCACCAGGTGTCTGCCCAGATAGCAGCTGGTCAGAGAGGCCTTCCCCGACCAACGTTTATAAGAGAACAGCAGCCCCCCAACCCGCCACCCGTCTCCTCCCCCCGTTTTCTCTGTTCCTCATGGTGCTAACCACCACCGCCGTGTTCGTTTTGTGGTCTGCTGTCTCCTCCACTGTAAGGGACCCCAGAGAGAGGGGCCTGGCCTGCCCTGTGCTCAGCGCGCCCCAGCTCCCGGGAGTAGGTGCTCAGTGAGTAAGGGTGGGGTGAGTGCGTCTCCCTCCCAGTGCCTGGCGCGTGGCAGGCGCTCTGTGGGTGTCAGATCAGTGAGCGAACTGCAATATTATTGTTAATGGCAGTGTCTCCCATTTATTGAGGAACTACTGAGCTAATACGTTCAGACTAAGCAGCTGCAGCAAACGGAGCCATTCAGCGTCCCCCTCAGCACTGCAGCTCGGTCACCCTGAGCCCTGTGTGTGGAGCAGGAAACTGAGGCTCGGACAGAGTTAGCAACTTGCGCAGAGCTGCACAGTGGCTGAGCCGCAATTCGCACCCAGGCCTGGCTGACCCCGGAGCCCCATTCCTGGAAGGGGAAGTGTCTGCCTGTACTTCTGATGTGAGAGCTAAACCCCAAGACGGTGCTCACAGAGCATCCAGCCCCGTGTTTGGCCTGATGACGGGCTCCCTGTGCAGGTCAGGTCTTACCCAGCCCTGGGGTGGGGCCCCAAGGAGCCCCCTAAAGTGCGTGAAGTCTGGGGCTCACCAGGCTGTCTCGGGCCTGGGCCCAGCATCGACCTGAAACTCGCGGTGGGCTCCCACCCGGCCCCGGCTCGGGTTGGGGTGTGTAGTTGTTTTGGTTTGGTTTTGGGGTTGTCTTCCTCTCTCTTGCACCATCTGCGAGGGTCTTTCCCAGCCCTCAGGATCTTTCTGGAACCCTGAGGAGGAGCCGGGGGGCCAGGTGTCCCCATCCACCCGCCTGGCTGCTGGCCACCTGCCTCCTTCCTCTGGAAACCCGCCCCACCAGGGGACCCGGCGGCGTGGAAAGTGGAAATGCCACTCGCACGCTGTTTACATAGAATTTTACTCCCAAAGCCTCACGGCCGCGCTCCGGCAAAGCTGCAGGGAGGTAGCTGCGTGGTGTCCGAGTCAGAGCTGGGTTCGGGTCCTCCCTGCACTCGCCAGCCGGAACCTCGAGGAAATCCCTCAGCATGCTCCGAGCCTCAGTTTCCCCATCTGTAAAATGACATGAGTGGAGTTGCCTTGCTGTATGATTGCGAGGCTTCGAACCGGGCCAGCAGGTGACAGGTGCCTCCGTAAGTGCTCACGGTCATCATTGTGGCTGTCAGCACAAGAGTGGCAGAGAGAAGAAAAGCCACACGGCACCCCACACAGCTACCTGTATTCCAGACGTTCTGCTTGCTTTTTAAAAATATGTCTTTATTGATTTTGGAGAGGGGAAGGGAGAGGGCAAGAGAGAAACATCAATGATGAGAGTCATCGATCAGCTGCCTCCTGAGCGCTCCCTACGGGGGATCGAGCCCGCAACCCGGGCACGTGCCCTGACCCGGAGTCGAACCCTGACCTCCAGGTTCATGGTCATGCTCCGCCGCCCAGCCACACCCCCGGGCTTTCTTGCTTTCTTATGCGCAGGCTTCTACACTTTTCTAATGATGCTGAAATGTAATGTCTTCTGGTTCCAATCACCTAGCATTACATTTGCTTAGCATCAAATCCTGCTATTTTACTTAATTTTTCTCAACACCGTTTTGCAGCTCTCCCGCTGTCCAGATTCCCTGTGCTACTCGCAGCAGGCTGGCC